CCAGAACTCAAGCACCGGCCATGGTGATGGTGTGGGCCGACATAACAGCCGATGGTCGCTCTCTCAGAATAAATGCCGGATATTACCGCGAAAATACTCTGGAGGGTGTGCTAAAGCCTTGGGCACGCAAACATTTTGGCCGCAGACCTTGGACATACCAACAGGATTCAGCACCATCGCACTCAGTACCCTCCACCCAAGAATGCTTACAAAATGAGGTTCCTCGCTTCATTTCCAGCCCACAATGACCACCAAAACCTCCGCATACCAATCCGTTGGACTATTGTGTCTGGAGTATTTTGGAAAGAAAGGTAGGCACTAAAAAATACCAAAGTGTCGATCACCTCCAGCAAGCGCTTCGCCGGGAATGGCCAAAATACCACAGAGCAACATTTGGGCAGCGTGTGACGGTTTCATTGGCCGTTTGCAGGCCATAATTCGTGCCATTCAATAGAATTTAAAAAAATTAAAATTATGGCGGTTTTTTATCTCTCCCTGTATATGTCGCAATTGTGGCCCGATCCTAATGAAATTTTACGCATGATTAGGTCCATAGACAGAATAGAGCCTATATAACTTTTTAAGATAACCCTTAAATATTTAAGTAATGGAATGGCAGGCTACAATTATGGACACATGGATTTGTATGAAATTAGGATTTATAACATAGCAGAAACCTGTCATTGTGGATGGTCCTTGGATAATATTTCACAATATTTGTGAAAAAATTATTGTCAGCCCAGACCCACTGTGTGTCTGTGAAATAAATATTATATTATATTCATGAAATATTAAATTGTATTCAATAGAAAATTCATCGACAGTGACAGTAAAGAACCAAAACCAACATTAAATGACAAATGTTCGCTTCCAAAACATTGCAAATATTTCTGTACCGAAATACACCAACCCGAAATTCTTATCCTGGTTATACCCTTAATCAAATTCTGGGCGAAAAAAAACGTATTTTGTTTTACAACCAACCAATATGTGTACCATGTAATAATTGATGAATTTCCCTATATATGTTTGTATGTATGTAGAAATGTACACATGTATTTGTATTACACTTCGAAGAGCATCTTTTTATATGTTTTTTTATTTACTTAAAATATCAGGAGCTTAAAGTGTTTCAGATCAATATTTCTAGGTGAAGTGTTTCGAAGTGTCTTCTTAATGTTGTATACCTACACGTTTATAATTATCGATATATGCAAATATATGTACACACACTTTAATTTCATTTATTTTATTGGTAGTTTGTTTTTTTATTTATTTTATTCTTTTTTTTCGTAAAAATTAATTAATTTAATTTATATTCTTTTTTATCACAGAGAGACGTGACTGGGATTAACAATAAAAATCGTCATATAATACAAAATTGAAAACGAAAACTTAACTGAGACAAGATTAATTTAATTAATTTATAAAGTTTCATAACAAATAACAGAACCCACTGTGCGAAAAGACCATAACCGAGTAGTCTGAAATAAATGAATGTATTCAAAAATAAAAAAAATATATATTCTTAAAGAATGACTAGATTAAATGAAGAGAATTGTCAAATAAAATATAAATTTAGTCGTTTTTTTTTTGTTTAAATTTTGGAGGGTAATTTAGAAATGAAAATTGAAGTTAAATATTTCACATTAAAAACAGCAATAGAATTTTATTCTCGTTTGTCGCACAGTGTGTGCATTAAAATTAATTATGTTAGCTATATAAAACTTAATTAAGAATGGCAACAGTTGATTTTTTTTCTGTATTGTACAGCATAGTTTTTTCTTCAATTTATTTTAATTATTCTAGGAATAGTTTTAAGATATTAACAAAAGTTTGACTTAGTCTTTGTGTCATGTTTGAAATTTTTTAAAAAAATATATAATATAATAATAAAAAAACGAATAATAAAAAAAAAACAATAAAAAAGTATTCATTAGTTTTGGTTATCTATAACCAAAAATCGTATCGTAATTTATATAACAAATTTACAATATTATCCGAAACAAAGGAGAGTTTTTACATTTGGGAGAGTCATCATAGTTTATACAGGTTAATAATATCAACTGAAACCAAAGCCAATTGAGAATATCGTTAAAACTAGGGTTTTTTTTGCTAAAGTCATAGGTCGAGTTTCTTAGTTTATGGCGTATATCTCTGCTTATACTCTCCACCATTGGTAAGCAATTTGAAAAATGTCACAAAAATCCGTCTAAAAATACCGCTTAAATGAAAACCGCTATATGTGGGTTATACAAAGACGTGGACCTGCATTGAAAATTTGCCGTCATTGGTTGAAGTTCATATACTAAATTTGAAAAAGTTCCGGTGAATACTGTCGCTTAACTATCAAAATACCGAATATCAGCCCGTACTGTTGTATGAAGCCTCGGCACTTATCGAAACATTTTCAGAAGAGCCTGACAGAACATAACTACTTCTTTTATTTGCTTTTAGTTATGTATAAAAAGTAACTACATTTTTAGTTGTTCTTTCTGCAAATTGCCTTTTATTTGTACCGTGCGAGAACGTTTTTATACTCTCCACCTTGGTGAGGAGGGTATATTAACTTTGTACTTCCGTTTGTAAAATCCCGAAATATTCATATATATTCATAATCAGCATAAAATTCGAAGTCGATTTGTCTGTTTGTCCGTCTGTCTGTTAAAATCACGATGCAGTCCACATTAATTCCATCCATCAAATTTGGCAGAACGATTTGCATTGTGTCTATAATGGTTGGTATATTCTTTATTTTCACGATTTTTTTTAACTTTTTTCACGGATTTGTTTAAAAATTGGTCTTTATTGGTCATGATGGGTTTTAACGGTACCTCCCGATATTCGGTATTTTCATGATTTTGGCGACCTTATTCATCGGAATTATTTCAAGTTTGGTATTTGAAGTTCGTAATGGATACTACAGTCTATGACAGAAAATTGTCTGTAATGGTACCTCCAGATATTCGGCATTTTGATGATATTTAGCTACATTATTCACCGATATTTTTTTCAAGTTTTGCATTTGTATAATGTAATGGTTTATGTCAAATCTTGCCTATGCAGCTCCACGTTGTCGCATAGACCCTAATATAATATAATGCCTACATTCGGTATTTTTAAGATTTTAACAGAATTTTTAACGTTTTTTTTTTTTGAATTACGAAATTTGTTCCAAATAGTGGACGGTATTCAAAGTTCGGCACCACCAAACTTACAGCTTTTTACTTGTTATACCCTACAACACTTTGTGTTGGGGGTATTATAGGTTTGATTGGGCCAAAAATTATATAACACCTCGAAATATTGGTTTCCCACATAAGATAGTATACATGGACCTTCCTATCTCGTCGAACTGAGTCGATCTAGCTATGTATATCTTTTCGTCTGTCCATGTTAATTTGTAATCACTCTACAGGTCGCAATTATAACCCAATCTTCACGATATTTAGAATGAAGGTGGGGCTAGGGCCAGAATAGAAGCCTATTGCTTTTCGAGATGATTGCATAATATATAGCGGTTCAAGTGGACCAAAAACTGAAACATTTCCGATCTTCACGAAAATTTTCACAAGGGTAGGTTTAGGCTCAAAAGGTTAGGCCTATTGTTTTCTAAGATGTCCGCAATATATTTAGAGGTTGACCGTTATAAAGGTCACAAAGGACACGAAATATCGCATGTAGTTTGAGTTTAGGAAAGCAAGTAGAATGGACTACAGCTTTTGTGTGAAAGAATGTCAGAATTATTTACAGGTGATATCCGAAATACACAGAAGGCGAACTTCTGGCTTTTTTATGCTGACTTCGTTGACGAATATAGCCAAATATCGTAGACAAGCAAATCAAATAGATGAGTCTAAATTTGGAGATACAGAGGGGTCTCTTGCTTTTGGAGGTGATCGCAAAATATTTAGCGGTTAAAATGAAACAAAAACAGAAAAAAATCCAGATCACACAATTGAAGGACAAGGAAGAATTCTAGAATTTTGGATAGATTATATTTAAAATGTAAAATGGACCACAACAACTAACAGCACGATAGGGTGCGTAAATGTGTCTGGTGAAAATGCTAAGGGAAATATTCTGGGCAGTGCTCCGTGACATAATTTCAAAAGCGAAATCTTCCAACATTGATTTGGACATAAAGAGGCTTCTTCGTGGTCGGCCCGCACGACTTACTTGTTTATTTTTATAAAATTACCAAATTCGTTCCAAATAGTGGAGGGTATTCAAAGTTCGGACCGGAACTTACAGCTTTTTACTTGTTTTTAAAATCATATTATAACTCAAGAATTCGGCCCAGTTTCCATCAAACCTTCATCCCTGATGGGGTTATATACCATTTTTCGACAATAAACATTTTTAATAAGGACGACAGTGTTCTGATCTCACTCTCTTCCAATGAATAAAAAATCTCTCCTATATCCAAACATAATTAAATTAAGAAATATTAATATAACAAAAATTACCCCGAAAAGTTATATTACAATCAAACCTAAAAAAAGCTATCTTAAACGACAGAGAATTGAGTTTTCTAATGGTTTGCTACCATTAGCAACCAACCATTTTTATGGGTGTGTATGTGTATGCATGTCTACTACAATAATATTCTAATGACTTATTAAGATGTCCTTTAATAATAGTTCACTATTTTTGTTGCTCGTTTACTTAGTAACTAGAAAAACTAATATTTTTTGCTTTATAATTATTTTATGATGTAATATTTTACATTGAATTCTGGGAGTATATTAATGTCCTTTTTTTGGTTTGCGTTTATTTCATATCATTTCATTTGTTGACTTATTTACTGACTTATTATTTTAAAAATAGGATTTCTTTGCTCTTTTGTGTGGTTGTTTTTTGTCAACTCATAGATTAATATATGCATGTTTTTAGTTTTGCTTTTAGTTTTGATTTTTTTGTTTATGGAAATTGTGTTTTTTTTTTCGTTTTGTTAAAAATAGTACAAACAATAACTAGAATAGCAACAAGTTTAATAGTTTCCATTTCAATGATACATTTATTTATTTTTCTTCTTTGTTTAACTAATATGTGGTTTGTATAAAAATCATCACTCGTTTAGTCACAGAAGTGGAAGAAGATGAAGAGAAAGAAAAAGAGAAAATTTGTCAAGAGAAAAAAACTAAAAGACTCCAATTTGCTGTGATTTGATTGTGTTCCTTGCTTCTCCACATTCTCTCCACTCACTTAGGCAATGGCTCTCTTAAAAATATCGTCTTGGTTTTTTGATGCCTCTCTTCCCATCATTTTTTGGTGATTTTCACTGTGTGTCTTTCTTTGTGTTGAGGTTCTTTTTTAGGGACTCTCAATACACCTAATTTCAGAGAAAACTCTCTCGCGCCCCATGCCTCTCATCGCCCAACATGACACGCTGTGACGGTGGCTCTCCATACTGATCCTGATAGTAATTCTCACGCATCATTGTATTCAGACTGGAACATCTAAAGTAGAGTATCTCCTGGAAAGGTTTACGGAAGTCTCGATTTAGGGTGGCATAAATAATGGGATTGAGCAATGAATTGGCATAGCCCAGCCATAGGAACAACGAAGACAGTGATTGTGGCACATGGGTGGTTTCCGATTCCACAAATGGCCGGATGAGAGCTAAAATGAAGAATGGCAGCCAACAAATGGTAAATGCGGACATTATTATGCCCAGGGTGGTGGAGGCCTTCTTCTCTTTGGCTAGCTGGAAACGCAGTTTCTTTTGATGTGGTGAACCCAAGAGGCCACTAGAACCGCTACCACCGCCGCCGCCATGACCACCATGGCCACTATGATGGCTGGCAGAAAGACCACCGCACGTGGAATAATTTAACGATGTATTACCATAGCTACTGTGACGATGTTGTTGTTGGTGGCCGTGGGCCTCTAGGTCAGTGTGACCTGGCGGCGACCCCGTGCCATTGAGGGCATGCTGCAAGTGTGTCTGTGCTCGCTTCTCCTCCAACACAATGCGCCTGGCTGCCCGGAATATCTGATAGTAAACAAAGAGCATTACGGCCAGTGGTATGTAAAAGGAACCCAGCGTTGCATAAATTTGATATGCAAAATTTTGACACACCGAACACATGGGATTACCGTGTTCATCCTCGTGTTCATTGCCCAGTATGAGCAGCGGTGGCAATGAAATGCAGGCGGCTGCCAGCCATACCAGCGCCACACACAACATCATGCGCCGCGGTGTCCGTTTAACCCCATACTCCAGGGGCTTGGTGATGGCCAAATAGCGATCCACCGAAATGGCACACAAATTGAGGATGGATGCCGTGCAGCAAAGGACATCGAATGATACCCAGATATCGCACAAAACCGGGCCAAAACTCCACTTTTCCAAAATCTCATAGAGCAAGGCCATGGGCATCACGAGAACGGCCACACAGAGATCAGAGAGAGCCAAGGAGACTAATAAATAATTACAAGGACGTCGTAGTTTACGCACCATGCACACGGCAATGCATACCAGGACATTGCCGACTATTGTGCCGAGGATAACGAACAGCAGAATTATGCTGACCAGTACCGTGTGGAAAGCAGGTGTTGTAAATTCAACAAGGGTTGTGGGCAGCGATGATGCAGGTAGGGATGTTGAGGCGACTGATAATGAGTCCGATGAGTCGACGGCAGCGGAGGAGGATGATGACGAAAAGGACGATAGGGTGGGTGATGACAGCCATAGTGTCTCATTTCCTGTTGCCCATGGTGGCAAAGTAGAGGTGACGCTGCTGACCGGGCTGGCTGTGGTAAACATGTTGCTAATACTGTGTGGGTTTCTACGATGATGATTGGAGTGTTCTGAAGTCGAAGCGGAGGACGAAGTGCCATCATTAGTTTGTATGTTGGCCGTTGTGTGCGGACTACTACTATTGTTTGTTGCTCCCTCTGTGTCTGCTGCGTTGCCATTGGCGTCGGGTGCAACAGCTGCCACCTCAAATATCAAAGCCTGTATGGGTAGCTGTAATACCGTTGATGTACGATTGCCAAAACTGCTTTGACCATGCGACTCCTCCGACAATATCAAAGAGGCCGAACCTACTTGAAACCAGCAATCACTTAGGCTTAGCAAGAAGAGAACATAGAATAATGTTCTCAACAGTGATAGCATAAAATGTTTCAACTTTTGTGATATCCGTTTCCAAGGGCAGGATTTCCGGCGATGATAGCGTTGAAATTTAAAATTATCATTGACCAGTGATGAGGATGATGGCGTTGGTGACGTGGATGTGGATGACGAAGTTGGATTTCGATTTGTGGAGGAGGATGATTGAATATTACATGTAGAAACTCTAGTATAGTGGTGGGTGTTACTGTTGTTTTTGTTGTTACTATAGAGAGCATTGCTGTTGCTGTTTTTGTTGGTGTTGGCATAGAACCAACTAGGAGCATTTATAGGAATTCTGAAATTGATATTAAAATAGTCAGCGGTTTTTGAGTCTAATGAATCCATATGATATTTTTGTTTCTTGTGTTTCTTGGTTTATCAAAGAGATGTATACTCTTTTTTATGAATTACTCTACTCTTTTCTATGATTTTCTATTTTTCTCTCTCAATTCTGTGATTCCTTTTGTTGTGATTTATCTTTGGTATTATATTGCTTAAAATGAGCGATTGTTTTTCTTTTTACATAATTCTTCTCAAACGTCTGCCATTCTCTTATCGAATTGTCTTTGGTCTGGCAAAAGCTCTCTTTGCAGCAAACTTCTCCGTTTCTTGTGTATATCCTTTTGATAAATAATTACAATTTCTTTACCAAAAGCCGTGTGTAAATCCATTTATTTTCTTGTCTTAAATTCTAAGCCAGTTAACAACTGTTCCCCGTGGTGCTGCGGTGCCTCACACTTTCTTTGCTCAGCTCTTGGTATTGTGTCAGTGTAACATATTATTTTTTACACGTCAACATGTTCTTGAGTCTTTGCTGATTGACGTTTTCTGCTTCTTCCAGCACTCTTCGTGGCCTCTCTCCAACTACTAGTTTTCCTTTTTGTGGGTTTAATTGTCATTTATCATAATTCTACTCTTTAGTTTCACTATTCATGCTCATGTTCTCATGTGACATGTCAGTCATTCACTTGTTCAGTCGGTCGGTTGGGCGGTCGCTCGCTTGCTCGTTCGTTCGTTCGCTTTTATTCATTCATTCGTACGTTCGTTTATGTCGTTGGTCCATTCAGTTGTTCCGATGGCAGCAGCATCTAACATGACATGTCCTTTCATACCAAGAATGCTCTTCCATTTATCAGTGTCGTTCTTCTTCGGTCGTGGTCGTTGTACTTTTTTTAGGGGTTGTGTTGTTGTTTGTATGTGTTGGCAGCCTGTTATTGTGTCAGCTTTATGTTCATGTATTCTCTCCTTTATTAGGCCAACTAGCCGGCCAGTCAACCAACGAGCAAGCAGTGTAATTTCTTTTGTAAGAGGGAGTTGTTTTCTTAGCGTTGTATGTCGTTCTACTTGTTTGTTGTCTTTTTTGAAAAAAAAAGATTCTTTTTTCATTTAACGTATTGAAGAGAGTATTTTCAGGTGTTTTTTATTTCTTTTTGTTTTTTTATTTGTTATCCTTTGGTATTGAATGAAAATCTTGTTCCTTTTGTTGCTTGAAACCGTTTGATGGAAACACTAGAGTGATTGTCCAAATTCTGCAATGAAAAGAAGAAAAAACAAAATAAGGCGACATGTTAGATTGAAGCTGGACTGAAAGGTTAAAAGGATTCCTTATATAAAAATTGTAAACTTAAAGAGAAACTTAGAGAGACATGTTATTTATGAAATAAAAATTGCCCCGGTTCGCGTTGCCGGCCCGTATTTTTAGGCCTTAATGCATATTTTTAAAGCATAATAATACACAAATCTAATACTAATTTTAAAAAAATAAATCAAAACAAAATATTAGTGGCAAATTGATAATACAAGGTGAGATGAAAAAACTGCAACCAACTTCAGACTGCTGTCATTTCTTAGCCCCTCGTCCGACAGCTATTAAAATTATTCCAGTGACATATCATTATATTGTTTACAAGCGTACAAAAGCATTTTGCTGAGAATTTTCCAGAAAAAGAGTTATTCGTGATGGAATTCAATAGTGATGGTGTAATATCTTTATATTTGGCTGGAAAACCACAAGTGGCTTTCGTTCGAGCACTCCAGCATTTAAATGTGAATAAATCTTTTGTGTCTCGTACTATCGTTCGTTACCATGGTACTGGTAGCGTAGCCCGACGTCAAGGAAGTGGACGGAAGAAAACAGCAACATCAGCAGAAATGGTTCGAAAGTAACAAAGCAACTTGATCGAAATCCGCGTCGCAGTGGTCGAATAATAGCTCGAGAGCTGAACACATCACAATACTCCATTGAAATTCCAAAAAGTGGAAGAACTGATGCCGCAACAGAAAGAAAATAGACTCAAGAGAGAGAGAGAGAGAGAGAGCAGCTTTGCCCAGAAAGTACGGGATCGAAATATGAGCAAATTTAGGAGGTTATTTTTTACACGAAAAAGTTATATAGCAAAGGTAGTAGTAATTTTCCCCACAACTTTTGCTAGTGTTATGTGAATGTGAACGACGTTTTCAATTTTTTATTTGGATTTTCTTCATAAATATTATCAAAAATTGTTAGTTATCTAGCAAAAGTAGTGGTAATTTTCCTCACAACTCAAATTTGGTGATTATATGATAATATGGTGATAATATTTGTCTCAAAAAGTTTTATAAATATACAACTGCCAAAATTCCAAATTGTAGGCACTTCGGACAAAAAATATTTCCTTCAGGCAAATATTTCCTTCAAATTTAAACTAACTTTCTGGTATGGCGCAAACAGAAATAGGTAGGTTTAAAAATTCGGTCATTTAAAAATTTGTCAAGTCTCAGTAACTAACATCTCAAAACTAAAATTCCAGTGGAATTCTTAATGGAGTTTAAAATTTTTATTATGCCAATCATAGATGGGCAAGTATGCTAGCTAGCGTTGCTGTCTCTTATTCTCTGTCATGAGTAAAACATCAAAAACAGCCTTATACCATAGACAAATAAAGGTATAGACTAAAAAGTTTTAAAATTTTTCCTTCCGGCAGATGTCACTATTGTTGATCTTGGGCCAGTCAAGTCACTCAGGGCTAGGGAAGTCACTCGACGTCGAAAACAATTTATTCATTTTTCTGCTATAGAACTTAAATCTGTATTTTTAAATATTAAATATATTTAATATTTTGTATTTTGAGAGAATTGAGTGAATCTACTGAACCTCTCTCATAACATGAACGACATCTATTGAAGCACTTCTTTCAGAGATAACAGATGAGACAACTTTTTAGTCTATACCAGCGGTGCTCAAAACCGAGTTCTAGAACATGAGCCGAAAAAAGAGATAATTGAAGAGAAAATTAAAATTCTGTTTTTCTTTATATTTTACGATTCCATTTAATTGTATTTAAACATAAATGTTTGCCAAAATAATTTATAAAGCAAATGGATAAAAAATATTTGTTTAAATAATGACTTAACACTGTTTTGTTCTTGATTTAAATAAGCAAAGAGAAATTTGACTATAAAGAGATATTTTTTCGGTCAAATTTCTCTTTGCTTATTTAAATCAAGAACAAAACAGTGTTAAGTCATTATTTATCCATTTGCTTTATAAATTAATTTGGCAAACATTCGTGTCTAAAAACAATTTAATAGAACCGTAAAATATAAAGAAAAACTGAATTTTAATTTTCTCTTAAATTATCTCTTTTTTCGGTTCATGTTCTAGAACACGGTTTTGAGCACCGCTGGTCTATACCTAATTTGTCTATGCTTATACGCATTATTTTATACAATTGTTTTTATTAAAAAATGTTTGAGCTGATTATATTTTTGATTAACATTTTTTAAATTAATTAAAATTCAATGCAGGAATTTTATTTCAGAATTCTCCTATTAGTAATCTCTTTCAATATTTTGCCCATCTATGATGCCAATACATTCTAATCTCTTAATACGCAAATTGAAAGAGTCTAAACTCTTGATCATTTGTTTTGCTATTATTGAGGTTCTCTTGCATATTAATGTAAAGAGTACTTCATGACTCTCTTCTAATCGCAACTCAGAGTACGCTTTTTGTTTTCTTCTTCTTTAAAGTTGGAGTTAGTTTTCGTTATACTTTCAAATCGTTCGCATGTTTTTTCTGTGACTTCACCATTTTGGCGCAAATGTTTGCAATAGTTAATCATAAAATCATTAAATTGCAAAAGAATCATCGATTTTATTTCAATTAAATTACAATTTTTTAGTTAATAGTGTTAAATTATCAAATATATATAATTTGCAAAGAAATTAATCTGTTGGCGTTAGCAGTGTGCACAACAAAAGTGGAGCAGACATAACAGATGTGTTTTTTGTCGTTGTTTTTCTTTGGTCGAGATTTACATTGCGTATTGAGAGAGAGAGAGAGTGGAGCAAAGAGGGTAATACTATTGCACTATTAAATAGTGTTTTTGGAAGAGAATGAAAGGCAAATAAAAACAAAGAATTATTTGTAAATAGAAATGAAAGTACAGTTGACCTTAAAAAAACAAAAACAAACTCCAATGTTGTTATTGTACGTGCATGTTGGGGGATGGTCTGATGAGTGATTGGTAATGAAGAAGAAAATAAGAGTTTCATAAGAAATAAAAGAATAAAATAAGTACAGGCCCAAATTAAAAAGAAATGATACAAAGTGAAAATAATCCAATGTTAACAAAAGTGTACAATAGATCTTTGTTCGAATGTGTTATTTAATGGTTTGTTCGATTGTTTATGTGAAAATTTAATAGCAGTAGCATATTACAATGTGCTGTGTCAATGTTGTGGGGTTCAAGATTTTATTTATAGACTATTGGAGAGAGTAGATCGTCAAATCTTTTATGATACTAAAAGGGTTTGCACGTGAGAATTTAAATATTTGTTAAAAATATTTTTATTTCAATTCAAATTTAAAAATAACAATGAAAGTAAGTCCGACATTAGTTGCTAATAACGGCAAATAAACATGCGGTTCGGCTCGTGAGTGTTACTTATAACTTAATGATTGATGGCAAGGACTGGGCTTACGATATTAATACACTAAAAGACAAAATGATACAATTAAGCTGGAAAATGTGATTACTTAATATAATGTGATTTTGTTATAAAATGAAATTTAAAAATGTGTATAATTAGAGGCACGTGATAAAGTGTTTGTTTGATAGCCTGACCAGCAAAGATTGTTTATCGTGAATGTAAGTATTTTAAAAAAATGTTACTATTTTGTAATTGGTTTATGGTTATGTCATTGGCAAATTTATATAAAAATAATCAATTAAATCTTCCCCCCCTCCGGAAATATGTTGCCACGACCAGTCATATGTCTTATAAATGTAACCAGGGTCTGCGAAATGAACATCCAGCACATTCAACCTTTTTTATACCCTCCACCATAGTATGGAGGGTATATTAAGTTGGTCATTCCGTTTGTAGTACCTCGAAATATACATTTTAGATCCCAAAATTCTTGATCAGCATAAAATTCTATGTCGATTTAGCGATGTCCGGTCACTCTAGCTTCCGAACGAAATAAAGTAGGTTGATAAAATTTAACTCAAACGTATATTATGTCTGCAGGACTTTTGGTATTGAAAATGTAGGACCACGTTTTGGTATATTCCCTATATAATGGCAATTCACTATTTTCGGTTTTTTTAATTAAGCGACATTATTCACCGTAAATATTTTAAATTTTGTATTTGAAGTTCGTAATGGATACTACAACATATGACAAAAAATTGTCTATGCAGACCCACGTCTTCGTATGGTCCCCATATAACGGTACCTCCTGATATTCGGTATATTGATGATTTTAGGAATATTATTCACCGGAATTGTTTCAAATTTGTTATTTAAAGTTCGTAATTGATACTAGCCTGAAACAGAAAATTTTCTGTGCAGGTCTTCGTATGGCCCCCATATAACGGTACCCCCTGATATTCGGTATATTGATGATTTTAGCAATATTATTCACCGGAATTGTTTCAAATTTGTATTTTAAGATCGTAATGGATACTACAGTCTATGCCAGAAAATTGTCTGTACAGGTTCACGTTTTGGCATAGCCCCATATAATAGTACCTCCCTATATTCGGTATTTTGATGATTTTAGCTACATTATTAACCGAATTTTTTTTTCAAGTTTCGCATTTGAATATTGTAATGGCTTATGACAAAAGTTGCCTATGCTGGCCCACGTCCTCGTGTAGCGGCTACATTCAGTATTTTTAGGATTTTAACAGAAGTTTTAACGGATTTTATTTTTTTGAAAATTGCCAAATTCGTTCCAAATGGTTGAGGGTATTAAAAGTTCGGTCCGGTCGAACGTACAGCTTTTTTACTTGTTCCAAAATTGTATTTGTCTAATTGTACATTATACGGTACAGCCGCATAAGCGGTAACGTTTCTGTAGATCTGAAACTCATCCGAGTAGATTAAATATACCCCTAAGAAACATCCCCATATCTACTTCATAATAAACTCAAATATTGAACTTAATTGCTCCTCTTTTCGAATAATCATCATAACTCTGGAACCAATACCAAAGACCTAAAATGGTAAAGACTAGACAAAATGCATTCTGAGCAAATGG